AAAGTTACTTGGCTCGTTATCTCCAGCGGGATGACAACAGTTTTAGTAAAGCAGCTACTGCCTCTGAGACCTAGATGTAGCCTAACCAGCCCCGGGCTATCAGTTCAGCAGAGCGGCTACTGCATCTGAGACGTGCCGGTACCCGGATGTAGCCTAACCAGCCCCGGACGATCAGTTCAGTGGAGTGGCTACTGCCTCTGAGACGTGCGTGTACGCGGATGTAGCCCAACCAGCCCCGGGGGATCAGTTCAGTAGAGCGGCTACTGCATCTGAGACGTGCCGGTACCCGGATGTAGCCTAACTAGCCCTGGGGGATCAGATCAGTAGAGCGGCTACTGCCTCTGAGACGTGCCGATACCCGGATGTAGCCCAACCAGTCCCGGACGCTGCATCTTCTGCACTTCTCCCAAAACAAACGTCCAGCAAATGTCCTGACACGCGACATCTGGATAGACTGACCACAGACTGGGGATTTTACGGAGACTACCTCACCGAGGTAGTCAAAAAGCTCCTCGATGGCAAAGCTCCGGGGGTGGATGATATTCGGGCAGAGGTCCCCAAGGCTTTGGATGTTTTGGGACTGCGTTGGCTAACGCGACTCTGCAACATCGCATGGGCATCAGGGGCAGTTCCGCTGGATTGGCAGACTGGGATGGTGGTCCCCCTATTTAAAAAGGGGGACCAAAGGGTGTATTCCAACTACAGGGGGAATCACACTCTTAAGCCTCCCTGGGAAGGTCTATTCAGCGGTTACGGAGAGGAGGGTCCGCCGGATAGTCGAGTCTCGGATTGAGGAGGAACAGTGTGGTTTTCGTCCTGGCCGTGGAACGCTGGACCAGCTCTATACCCTCAGCGGGGTCCTGGAGGGTGCATGGGAGTTCGCTCAACCAGTTCACATGTGTTTTGTGGACTTGGAGAAGTCGTTCGACCGTGTTCCTGGGGGTATACTGTAGGGGGTGCTCTGGGAGTATGGGGTACCTGGCCCTCTGTTACGGGCTGTTCGGTCCCTGTACGACCGGAGTCAGAGTTGGGTTCGCATTGCCGGTAGTAAGTCGGATCCGTTTCCGGTGGGAGTTGGACTCCACCAAGGTTGCCCTATGTCTCCGGTCCTGTTCATAACTTTTATGGACAGGATTTCTAGGCGCAGCCGAGGTGTTGAGGGTGTCAGTCTTGGTGGCCTTAGGATCGCATCTCTGCAGATGATCTTTGCAGATGATGTGGTCCTGTTGGCTTCATCAAGACGTGACCTACAGCGCTCGCTGGAGCAATTCGCAGCCGAGTGCGAAGCGGCTGGGATGAGGATCAGTGCCTCCAAGTCAGAGACCATGGTCTCTCACCGGAAAAAGGTAGAGTGCCTTCTCCGGGTCGGAACGGACGTCCTTCCCCAAGTGGAAGAGTTCAAGTATCTCGGGGTCCTGTTCGCGAATGGGGGTAGGGAGCGTGAGATCGATAGGCGGATCGGTGCAGTAATGCGGGCGCTGTACCGGTCTGTCGTGATGAAGAGAGAGCTGAGCTTAAAGGCGAAGCTCTCAATTTATCGGTCGATCTACGTTCCCACCCTTGTCTATGGCCATGAACTTTGGGTAGTGACCGAAAGAACGAGATCTCGAATACAAGCGGCCGAAATGAGTTTCCTCCGTAGGGTGACTGGGCTCTCCCTTAGAGATAGGGGGAGAAGCTCGGCCATCTGAGAGGGGCTCAGGGTAGAGCCTCTGCTCCTCCACGTGGAGAGGAGCCAGTTGAGGTGGCTCGGGCATCTGATCCGGTCGCCTCCCTGGTGAGGTGTTCTGGGCTTGTCCCACCGGGAGAAGGCCCAGAGGAAGAAAGAAAAATGTATAGACAGTACAGACCAAAAGTTTGGACGCACCTTCTCATTCAAACAGTTATCTTTTTTTTCATGACTATGATAATCGTAGATTCACACTGAAGGCATCAAAACTATGAATTAACACGTGGAATTATATACTTAACAAAAAAGTGTGAAACAACTGAAAATATGTCTAATATTCTAGGTTCTTCAAAGTAGCCACCTTTTGCTCTGATTACTGCTTTTCACACACTTTGCATTCTCTTGATGTTTTTCAAGAGGTATTCACCTGATATGGTCTTCCAACAGTCTTGAAGGATTTGCCAGAGATGCCAAGCACTTGTTGGCCCTTTTGCCTTCACTCTGCGGTCCAGCTCACCCCAAACCATCTCTAATGGGTTCAGGTACGGTGATTGTGGAGGCCACGTCATCTGGCGCAGCACCCTATCTCTCTCTTTCTTGGTCAAATGGCCCTTACACAGCCTGGAGATGTGTTTGGGGTCATTGTCCAGTTGAAAAATAAATTATGGTCTGTGGCCGTTCAGCCACCGTGGGTGCCCCGAAAGTGTCTCTCGAGACCAGGATTTGTAATCTGAACTGCTGTTCACCTGCGATTTCTGAGGTTGGTGACTTGGATGAACTTATCCTCTGCAGCAGAGGTGACTGTTGGTCTTCCTTTCCTGGGGCAGTCTTTGTGAGCCAGTTTCTTGATGGCGCTTGAGGATTTTTGCGGCTGCACTTGGAGACAATTTCAATGTTTTCCCAATTTTTCGGACTGACTGACCTCAATTTCTGTAAGTAATGATGGCAACTTGTTTTTCTTTGCATTGCTGCTTTTTTCTTGCCATAATACAAATTCAAAACCATTTCAAAACCATTTCAGGTGACTACCTCTTGAAAAACATAAAGAAAATGCAGAGTGTGTGCAAAGCAGTAATCAGAGCAAAAGGTGGCCACTTTGAAGAACCTAGAATATTCAACATATTTTCAGTTGTTTCACACTTTTTTGTTAGGTGTATAATTCCACATATGTTAGGAGCAGTCCCTGGACCCAGTGGTGATGAAGACCACAGTGACCCAGTTCTGAATCGGGTCTGGACTTTCCAGAGAGCCAGAGTCCTGCACACAATGTACACATACAGGGGTTGGACAATGAAACTGAAACACCTGGTTTTGGACCACAATACTTTATTAGTATGGTGTAGGTCCTCCTTTTGCAGCCAATACAGCATCAATTCATCTTGGGAATGACATATACAAGTCCGGCACAGTAGTCAGAGGGATTTTAAGCCATTCTTCTTGCAGGATAGTGGCCAGGTCACGACGTGATGCTGGTGGAGGAAAATGTTTCCTGACTCGCTCCTCCAAAACACCCCAAAGTGGCTAAATAATATTGAGATCTGGTGACTGTGCAGGCCATGGGAGATGTTCAACTTCACTTTCATGTTCATCAAATCAATCTTTCATCAGTCTTGCTGTGTGTTTTGGTGCATTGTCATCCTGATACACGGCACCTCCTTCAGGATACAATGTTTGAACCATTGGATGCACATGGTCCTCCAGAATGGTTTGGTAGTCCTTGGCAGTGACGCGCCCATCTAGCACAAGTATGGGGCCAAGGGAATGCCATGATACGGCAGCCCAAACCATCACTGATCCACCCCCATACTTCACTCTGGGCATGCACCAGTCTGGGTGGTACGCTTCTTTGGGGCTTCTCCACACCGTAACTCTCCCGGATGTGGGGAAAACAGTAAAAGCGGACTCATCAGAGAACAATACATGTTTCACATTGTCCACATCCCAAGATTTGCGCTCCTTGCACAATTGAAGCCGACGTTTGGCATTGGCACGAGTGACCGAAGGTTTGGCCATAGCAGCCCGGCCGTGTATATTGACCCTGTGGAGCTCCTGACGGACAGTTTTGGTGGAAACAGGAGTGTTGAGGTGCACAGTTAATTCTGCCATGAATTGGGCAGCCGTGGTTTTCCGTTTTTTGGATACAATCCGGGGTAGAACCTGAACATCCCCTTCAGACAGCTTCCTCTTGCGTCCACCATTAATCTTGTTGGATGTGGTTCGTCCTTCTTGGTGGTATGCTGACATTACCCTGGATACCGTGGCTCTTGATACATCACAAAAACTTGCTGTCTTGGTCACAGATGCGCCAGCAAGACGCGCACCAACAATTGGTCCTCTTTTGAACTCTGTTATGTCACCCATAATGTTGTGTGCGTTGCAATATTTTGAGCAAAACTGTGCTTTTACCCTGCTAACTGGACCGTCACAGTCTGCTCTTATTGGTTCAATGTGCAATTAATGAAGATTGGCCACCAGGCTGGTCTAATTTAGCCATGAAACCTCCCACACTAAAATGAGAGGTGTTTCAGTTTCATTGTCCAACCCCTGTATGTGTGAAGCCTTTTGGTAAATCAGGAGACATAATGTTGGTATCAGAGGGATGAACAGGAACACTGAGCTGGTGTTTTCTGCTGTGTGTGCTCTGCCTTTTCTACCTGCTGACTCCACTCACAGAGTACGTGAATTATCAGAGAGCTCCTCAACAGCAGAGACTTTAACATGATGTTTCCTGACATCTGCTTTAGGACAATGGTTCAGAAACAGATGGATAAAAAGCTGGTCTGAGAGGAGAGTCCCACAGAAGAAAGTTCCTGGTCTTGGATTAGTTTCCATCAGGAAGTTTCTTAGTGATGATGTGAACATATTTGTATTGCAGAGGTCAGAGCCACAGACAGAGAGCAGAGGATCCACAACCCAACTGTGTGTCTGTGAAAAGTGACTGGTCCATGGATAGACCTCCAGACCTCAGAGATGGACCTGGACCCCCAGAAACAAAGTAAGACAGGATTCAACATGTGATTTCTATGGTTCCTCTTTAAAAGTCTCGAGTGAGGTTCTGTTTTCCCTCTATGAAGGTTTGTCCTGTGTTGTCCTTCCTGTAGTGTTCTCCTTGTTCCATATGAGGATCAGGGGGTTTTCACTATGAAATGTTACCACGATTAATTAAGTTTCATGAAATAAATGCTGAATGTAGAGCAGCAGCTTTTGGTACAGCTGTGAAGTCTCCATAGAAAGCAGACATTGAATCAAAAGCAGGAAGGGCAGCAGGGAGGTTTCTGTTCCCATCAAGAGCACAGATAGAAGCTCTGGCTCTGCTGGAACCATGTTAGTGATGGAGAAATGTCTTCACAGAGGGAGGAAGAGGAGTGGTGTATGGGAGGAGCAGCTGTCCAGATGTGCTTTGTGTCAGGACGTCCTGAAGGATCCAGTCTCTACCAGCTGTGGACACTGGTTCTGCAGACAGTGCAGCAGCTCATACTGGGACCAGTCTGCCTCATCAGGGGACCCCCCCTGTCCCCAGTGCGGAAAAAGAACCAAAACTGTAGCAGGTCAGACATTTCTGGTACAACCTGATGCATCATGGGAGCTTTGCCTGCAGTGGCTTAGCCAGAAATTGATTATCAGTGGGTGGGCCAAATGAATATAATAGAAGGGAGGTTTATTTGTGTTTTCTTTGTTCCATTTAAACAATTTATAATATATATATATAAATGGTGTTGTGTGTTGAGTGTGCTTGTGATTGTTTTCTGTTTTGCCTTTTTGTTTTTTTGTTCAGCAAATGTTGGCCGCTCTGGTGGGATGGCGTCCTCCGGCTGTCCCAGCTCCAGGCTCTGTGAGGGAAAGCAGGATTCTGCTGTGAGTCTCTTTCATGTTTCAGCTTACTGTGTGTGTGTGTGTGTGTGTGTGTGTGTGTGTCACTGCTTCAGCTGGTCAGGATGACAGAAGCCTCACTCGTCAAGCAGGGAAACAGCTGAGTGAATAAAAGAGGGAACAGCCAGAATCTGAAGGAGGCAGAGAGCCTGAAAACAGGATGAAATGTTCAGGTGTTAGTGAGTGGGATCCGCTGCTGGTGGTTGGAGGTGGATATTTGGATATTTGTTTGGACTGTGTGAAGCCTGCTGGCCTTCATGGGGGAAGGTCAGAGTTCCAGACTCATCCCACCTGTTTGATGCCTTTGTGCTGGTTCAGAGCAGCTGGAGACAGACCGAGGAAGGTTTTAGACAAATAGCTGACAGTTGGGTCCTGTCTGTCAGCCTGCAGCAGCTGTTTGCACATGCTCAGTTCTGTTGTTGTGGCTGTTCAGACAGGTAGGATTTGGAGGAGGAGCACAGTGTTCAGAACAATGTTCGGCAGCTTTTTACACATTGTTCAGGGGGAATGTGTGCTTCAGCATCTCCTTTATGATTGCTCTTACTCAGCCACATGACAACAGGGTCTGCATAAAAAATGAAAATTCAACCAAACCATTTTTTAATGAATTTACGTGTAATTTCATCTTATATGTGTAGAAGTAACTCATTTGAACTGTTCTTCACCAGTTCTGTTCTGTTTCTGCTTTTGATTTGAAACTGTCAATACTTTTATCAAAAAAGTATTTATGGTTTTAGGTGTAAAGGTTGTGACTGCTGGTTAAAACCACTTAAATCTCCAACCTCTGGTTTTCACTGCAGCAGGTCTGAATCTTTGTCAGCCTCTCAGTAACACGCTGGCACCATCTTGAATCTGTCAAAGCCAAAATGGTTTAAGTCCTACTTAGTTCTGTGCTTGGACCAGTTCTTTTACCCTTTTCCCTTCATAGCTGTCTGGTGAGAATGAGTCAAGTGTACCTGCAAATGTTTCGCAATGAAAGTAGATTTAAAACAGGATACTTTCTGTCCACATAGAAATCTCTGCTTCTCAATATAACAGGTTTGTTAGTTTGTTGTATTTCATTTCATATGAGTCTTGTAAGCCTCGAAGGTTCTTTATGAAACACAGAAAAGTTTCTCTCCAGTCAAATGGAAAGTTATCAGGTTAGTATAATAAAATCTCATGTTTGTCGTAAATTCTTGTCAAGATCAGAATTTTTTACACTTGTTAGTTAGTTATTTAAGTAATGCATTGATTTTGGTACAAGGCGGGCGAAGCCCGCTCTCAGTGATTTATTAAGATATACATTATTTCTGTTACCAGGCGGGCGAAGCCCGCTTAGAGGGCTTTAGTCAGAGCCCGGTTCTTGTTGTGGTTCTGGGGATCGGACCCAACCGGGTTGGAACTGGACCGGGGCCGGACCCAGACATGTCATACCTTTTTGCGTAGGTCTTTTTCTCAGCTTTCAGCCAATGTGACCCGCGACCTTCTCAAACCAATTACATTCGGTCAGCGGTCCCCAGAGCTCAGCCAGGTCCCTCCATCACTGCGTCTCTCCCTCAGGCCCTCTCATAGGCGCGAGCCCACATTACAGAGAGCCCAAATATCGATTGGCCGACCTGCCCCGGGTTCCTGGACGGGCAGTAGGTGGCCCCCCTTCAAAATTTCTTCAGAAATGTTCTAGTTGTTCTTTACCAGTTCAGTCCTGATCTGTTAGTGTATTTCTGTTTATTCTAAACTGTCAGGACCTTTATCAAATAAATACTTATGGTTTTAGGTGTAAATGTAGTGAATGCTGGTCAAACCCACTTAAAATTCCATCCCCTGGTTTTCACTGCAGCAGGTCTGAATGTTTGTCAGCTGCTCAGTAACTGCAGCAGACTCACTGATCCAACTTTGACCCTCAGGCAGACGGACAGAGGACATATTGTATCTTCAGTTGCTTTAGTCTTTTCTTTATTCCTTTTCCATAGAATTGTAAGGTTAGTATTTCTCTATAAACTGCTCTGCTGTCAGAGTTCTTCTGTTAAAATCAAAGATAAAACCAGAACATCAAGTTCCTCAGCTCAGCCTGAAACCGTCCTGCATCCTGTGTCATGACTCTTTGGAGGTTGCACAATTGTAAACTGCTGTAATCCCTTTAAAGGATAGAAAGCAGTGAATACATTTGACTCTCCAACTGCAGTTCAGAGAAATCTGACGTGTCTGTTGAATGTTCAGTCAAATGTTTCCCTTCATAGC